AAGAGGTAACGTGGAAATTTTCCTTTATCCCATATTAGTGTTCCAGATACTTTTTCTTTTGAATTTTATGTCTTAAAACAATACTAAACAGTATACATACAACAACAATAATGTAGATTATTTTGAAAAAGATTTGTCCTTAATCTTACCATCATTCTTAATAAGGAACTTTTTTCATTTTGTTCTATTTATCTGTATTTAGGGATCTTTTACATAATTTACATCAGTTAGTATACAGTTTTATAAATATTCTTCCATGCTATAATCATCATAATTATTTTTAGTAGCCATTCCATTAGAAATTACAATTAGAATTTAGCAGACATTGAATGGACAGTTAGGTGGTTTCCAATGTATTGATTGTAAATCCTTCATTGTAATTGTCCTTAGGCTAGTTTACCAAAAGTAAAATTACTTAATAAAAGAGATTTAAATGTTTTTATGAATCTTACTATTGTACTGCTTTCCAAAAGGAATGCACATGTAAAATTTGTGCTCTCTTAGTTTTTGTTTTTCTAAAACCTTGCTAGTATTGATCATTCTCTTGCCTTTTTATTTTTTATTTTTATATTGTGATTTGGTTGAAGATTTACAGAGCAAATTCACTTTCCATACAGCAGTTGACATATACTTTGTCTCATGTCATTGACCAGTTTACCACAACGCAACAGCTCCCTTCCCACTTCCTTCCCATAGTTATCTCTTCCCAGTGTCTCTTGCGCCTTTTTAAAAAACAGTAGATGTACAATGATATCTAATTTTATTATGTATTTTTTAATTACTAAGGAACTCAACATATTCTATTTGTTTATTAACATACTTCTCTTTGTAAATTATTTATACATCCCCTTTGCCATTAGACATTTATTTTACTCTTAGAAACAGTAAAGCATGTTATAAGGAGCCTACTGAGTCATATAATTTAATTAAATCATCTTTTGAAAAAGCACTCGTATTGCTATATGTTTCTAACTTTTTTTCATTGCAGACTATTCGCCAAGGTTTTTGTATCCAAGGCCCAAAACTTTGTTACCCAAGATGATGAACGCTGACATGGATGGTATGTTTTTCATTTTCCTTCTTTTACATTCCTGTTTTTGTGGATCTTTTGCTTTATTAAGCAGTAGGAAACACAGAGAAGTAATTAGAAGACTTGGATCTTGGCTCCTTAGTTTATTTATATCCTATCTAGTTCTAGAAAGGATCGAAGGCATCTTTGATATAACTTACCTGTGAGATTTTAGAACTCATTTTGTTTCTACCTTAGTGCATTATGGGGGTATACATTTTTACAATACAGACCTTTTATATAAGTGAGATAATGAATATAAAGCTTCTTGCAGAATTTTAAGCATTAAACTAAACAATTGGTACCTGATGTTAATTAATAGTAAATTTGAACCTTTTTATTACAGCAGTTGATGCTGAAAATCAGGTGGAACTGGAAGAAAAAACACGGCTTATTAATCAAGTGTTAGAACTCCAACACACACTTGAAGGTGAACTTGTATTTTGGAGTTTTCTTGAATGATATCCCATTAATTGAAATAAGTATTTATGTTGCTAAATTTTATGATAATGTATACAGTTTTAAAAATTATAAGCTTAAAAGTCCATTTCAATGGTTTATCCTCCTCCCTCCTGCCTGTAGTGTTGGCTGGTGGTTTTAAAAGAAGGGATATGGTTTAACAGGGAGGTCAGATAGTATTGTTTCCTCCTTAGGGTCTCTCTTGTTTTTCTTTCAATAACTAACATATTACTATTTTGTACACGAGAGCCTATTTTTAAGACTCTGCATTGTGTTACTGAAGTCAACTGTAATAAAGTTTATGCCCGTATTAAAAAATATTATTTACCTTATAGAGATTAAAAGGGAATTGATCTTAGTTTTCCATTTTCTAAATATATAAAATTAATACTATTACTGAAACATCTTTTGTTTTTTTTTAATGAAATTAAATGTGGTGATGTTTTGGCAGTTTTTGGAGCCAAAGTGAACATTTCCTGTCACTCAGAACCCTCCAGAGGTTTCCCATTTACAAAGTTAATAACAGCCAGAGTCCTCCCGTGGGTTGGCATCTATGACTTCTCTGTTACTTTTTACAGAGTTCTTTCACTCTCTGCCCCATAAGTTCCACTTCAGACACACTCATCTCCTTTGCTCTTCTTTTACTGTGCCAAAGATGCTTCTATTCAGGGTTTTAGTAGCTCCTGGCCCCTCTGCCTGAATCTTCTTCCCTTGTTCATATCTACATGGCTCACTTTCCTCACTACTTTTAGGTCTCTGGTCCCCTTATGAAAAAATCTATCCCTGACTATGCTGTAGGAAACAGCAACTTCACTTACTTCTATTCTCTATCAATCTTACCCTCCTTGCCTTTTCTCTAGACCAACTTATCACTGTATGTGATACATAATTTGTTTCATGCCTGCTCCTGGCACCCACTCTGCACCCCCTTTATGCACACAAACACCTTAGAACGTAAGCTCTGTGAGGGCAGGGGCCTTTCTTTTTCCCTCACTATTACACCCTCATCTACAACAGGGCCTGGCTCTCAGATAAATGAACAGAAGTAATATTTTTATTTGATCATAAGGAACTGTGCCCTTCAATTTCTTGCTCATATAAAAATACAAAATGATTACTTGCCTGGAAGCTGACTGCCTGTATCTGATATATGAAATCTGTTGTGTTCACCTACTACATTTTCTTAAACATTTATAGTAAAGATACTGTTTTTATGTTGCTGATAAGACATGAACCAAAAATTCATGTTTTAAAAACAAGTGTTTTAGAAGATAACTGTTTTAAGAGTTTACTACTCAACATAAATGCCGTTTACAAAAAATAATATTTAATGTAAAATATATTCAACTTGCCAAAATCTTTTTTTAGAAATTGTTTAATTGATTTGCACTCAGTTTGTTTACCTTCTCTAAAGCTATCTTAATTTAAAAATAAAATTTAGGTATTGTGGTATCTCCTTTAAAAATGAATCTTAAAAAAAAATTGATAATAAGAAGTCATTGCCATCATTGTTTTTTCCCCTTTAAATATAGATCTCTCTGCAAGAGTAGATGCAGTTAAGGAAGAAAATCTGAAGCTAAAATCAGAAAACCAAGTTCTTGGACAATATATAGAAAACCTCATGTCAGCTTCTAGTGTTTTTCAAACAACTGACACAAAAAGCAAAAGAAAGTAAGAGGTTGATGTCCTCTGTGTTTTATGGAATTGCTGCTGGAATTTTTTCTTTAAAACTTGGATAGATTTCAAGAGTTACAGTACCTTTGTTTGTGGGCTTCATTGAATATTTATGAAGATAATGGCAGAGCTAGGCAAGATTAAGAGCATAACAGGAGACTTCTATGAGTTTGTGTATTATGTCAGTCTATGAAAATGTGCAAATGTATTGTAGAGACTTTATAATTAGAATTGCATATATTTATGAAAACTTGAATGTTTTCTTCAGTTTGCTTTTTTAGGTTTAGAACTGTCTTTTATTATAGGAATAGTAAAAGATGATACAAGAAAATAACTACATGTTGTGAAAAAGTGACCAAAATAAAATCATGTACCAATGCACAGCTTTGTATGTACCCTGTCCACCATCTTGTGCCTCTTTTCCATTTGCCTCTTCCTTCCCATTTCCCTTTCCTTTAGGAGAAAGGATAGTTCTGCGTTTGTAAAAGTAATTTTAATAATAGTTAATATTTTATGAGAGTAACCTGAACTCATTATTGAAACTTAATCAAAACAACTTTCTCAGCTAGGGCCTGTCATTTGTTATATTTAGTAATAAGAGAGGAGCTGTTGGTTCTTCTCTTAATAAATTGAAAACGGACTATAAAAATGAAGATTATTCCTTGAAACTATGAATTTCAAAATTGGGAAGGTTTGATATTCTGCACAAAATGATATCTGAAAAAAAATGAGTTCTAGTTTTGTGTTCAAAATAAAAAATCTTGGGGAACATAGGATAAGGTGGGAAAAATAGTTGGTAAGCAGTAGTAACCAACTCTGTTTTCATTCCAAATTTGTGTTGTCATCTCCACAGATTAGATCTTTTGGGTTACAACATATATGAACATCGATTAAGTCTGACTAACATGATGTAAACCACATCTTGAAGAGAACAGTTACAAAAAGTTTTGTCTCTTAAAGTTTATTTATAGCATCTAGAAGATCATCTTTTGCAAATACTCTTAAGAGTGTATTAGTATCAGAATCATGAACATAATGGGAGAATTTTTCATGTGTACTGATAATCTTCTGAATATTTTATCTCACCACTTCTCCCCAGAATTTTCTATGAGTCCAGCTGTTTGGTTTGTAGAGTTTTAGGCATCCTTTTATTAAGCAGTTTTTAAAAATTCAGTTGTAGATTCCATTTAAAAATGGAATCTATCAGAAGTAATGTTAAAATGTTAATTATAATAGGAAGAGAGATTCACTAATACAGTTTATGGTTATTAGATTTGAGCTACTTTTAATCATGGAATAATCTTACGATTGTATTGGTGTAAGTATCATTTGTTCAGTGACTTTGTGTGAATACATATAGTCATACTGCAAACATTTTGCATCCCTTTTGTGACCTAATTTACAAACATTTAAAGCTTGTGTTGCAATTCTGCTTTTCTGTTTAATAAAAGCTGTTTCAGAGATTGTGTGTTTTCATATGATTGCCTGTGTAACAGGGGTATGTAATGGTATGCCTAGCCCCTAAACCACTGTCCAGTTGATTCTGACTCAGAGCAACCTTATAGGATAGAATAGAACTGCCCCATAGGGTTTCCAATGCTGTAAATCTTTACAGAAACAATCTGCTTCAACTTTCTCCTGCAGAGCGGCTGGTGGTTTCAAACCGCTGACTTTTGCTTAGCAACGAAATGCTTTAACCATTGTGCCACCAGAGCTCCTTTAGTGGTATACCTAGGGTTGTTCAAAGCCACAGGATAAGTAGCCTATCTTAAGTATCCATATTACTGGGTGTTTAAGAGACTATTATTTTTATTAAAACACACATCATTGGGTATTAACACAGTTTTTTAAAAAATAGCCCAAAATATTCAAGAAAAAGGAATCCAAGATCTCTAGGGTAAAACGTGTTATATTTTATAGGTTAAATCAGGCTATTATAAGGAGCCATGGTGGCTCAATGGTTAAGCATTCTGAATGCTAACTGAAAGTGAAACATTGGTGGTTCAGACCCACCAGTGGCTCTGCAAAAGACCCAGCAATCTGCCCCTTTAATGATTATATATAGCCTGTTATGTGCCGTGGAGTCGGATCCGACTCATAGTGACCTCCTCCTTGGGTTTCCGAGGCAGTATCACTGTGGAAGTAGATTGTCCCATCTTTCTTCCGAGGAGTGGCTAGTGGATTTGAACCGCCAGCCTTCTGGTTAGCAGTCAAGTGCCTTAGGCACTATGCTACCAGAGCTAGGAAACCCTATCTACCACTTGTCTGTCAACTTGCATTATTGTGGTGGCTTGTGTGTTGCTGTGAGGTTGGAAGCTATGTCACCAGTATTTCAAATACCAGCAGGGTCACCCATGACGGACAGATTTCAGCAGAGCTTCCTGATAAGACTGGGAAGAAGGGTGGGTCATCCACTTCTGGAAAATATTGGCCATTGAAAACCTTATAAATAGCAGTGAAACATTGTCTGATATATTACTGGAAAACTATGAATAGCAATGAAAGATTATGAGCCCCTCAGGTTGGAAGCCTCAAAATATGACTGGAGAGGAGCTGCTTCCTCAAAGTAGAATCAACCTTAATGACATGGATAGAGTAGTACAGCTTTTGGGACCTCCATCTGTTGATGTGCCATAACTCAAAGTGGGAAACAGCTGCAAAATTCATTAATTGGAATGTGGAATGTACTAAGTATGAATCTAGAAAAACTAAGTTGTAATAGATGGAACACATAAAGATCAATATCCTAGGCATTAGTGGAAATGATCTGGTATTGGCATTTTGAGTCGGACAATCATATGGTCAACTATACCGGGAATGACAAATTGAAGAGGTATGGCATCACATCACCAAAAAGAACATTTCAAGTTCTATTCTGACATACATTGCTGTCAGTGGTGATAGGATAATCCCATACACCTACAGAGAAGACCATTTAATAGTGTAATACTCAAATTTACACACCAACCAATATAACCAAAGATGAAGAAACTGAGTATCTTTACCAACTTCTGCAGTCTGAAATTGACTAATCAAGATAATGATAATTACTGGTGATTGGAATGTGAAAGCTGGAAACAAGAAGCATTGATAGTTGGAAAATACAGCATTGGTGACAGAAATGATGGCAGAGATTGCATGATAGAATTTTGCAAGACCAACAACTTACTCATTGCAAATACCTTTTTTCAACAACAAAAATGGTAGCTATACAAGTGGATCTCACCCTATGGAATACACAGGAATCAAATCAACTACATTGGCGAGAAGTGATGGAGTTCAGTATCATCAGTGAAACCCCCATCACTGCTCATTTGCAAGTTCAAGCTGAAGCTGAAGGAAATTAAAAACAAGTCTAGGAAAGCCCAAATAATGACCATGATTATATCCCACCTGAATTTGGAGAATCTCTGAGGAACAGATTTGATGCATTGAACACCATGACGAGTTGTGGGATGATATCAAGAACATCATACACGGGGGGAGTTCCCGCAAGATGGCAGACTAGGTAGAAGTACTGCACAGACCCTCTTCAACAAAGAAAAGGGAAACCAGTTGACACAGACACAGAAGATAATCTTGGACCCCTGAGCCTTGAAGGGAAGGGTACAGAAGTAGACTAAACCCCAACTAGCAGAAGAATTTGCATGAAAATACCAAAAAAGGAGACATACGGAGCTGCGGTCTGGCAGGGACCTA